GCGCAGAGCCGCTTGCCACTGCGCCGTGCAGAGCGGCGTGGGCTGCTGCGAACGGCCCCGGGAGAGCGCAGCCTGGCCGGCGCTTTCCGAACTGCCGCAACGGCGATCGGGTGCCCTGCGAGACACGTGCCGGTGCTTGGTATGCACGCGTGCGTGTTTTACGTGCTCTGTAAAAGTGGGCAGTTGGCACCAAAAAACAGTATGCCTGTAACCAGCAAACAAGATAATGACAAAAATTAGAGGACTATGTCCTTTCCTGAATTTTGTCGCAAATTTTCATTTACATCAGCAAGCGAACATGGCATTTCAATAGTCAAAGTGCATAGTAGTATTTCCATTTTTTAAACCATTCCCATGAAGCTGGCATTAGTGCTCAGCATGCCATTCATGGTGTGCTGCCTTGCCTGCCTAGTGAGAAGGTAAAGGGACGGTTGTATTGTAGCCGTTAAAGATTGCTTCACTTTTCCACTTCTAGTGTTTTATTTCTTCTTCTCTGCTCGTTCATGTTGGTTGTATTTGGTACCTTAGAAAATCTTTCATTCAATATTTTTTTTTTCTTGAAGGCGTGTCAGAGGATTACAGATGCAAACTTAACAGAAGTCTTTTTTTTTAAGTATTACAGAATAAGGAAATATGGCTTGAATGAAGTTGCCTGTGTCATGTAAATGCTTTGAAGTTTTGTAATGGCAGAAGCTGGGTCTTCAGAAATTAAGAGATCCCGAATAAGTTTGTCACTCAGTAAAAATAAGGAAAAAAAAGGAACAACAAAAAAGCTGGAACATAAAGGAACACCATCTATACCTTCAGCATCCTCCTCTCTTATTTCCTTTTTTAACAATGTTCCCCCTGCCAAAATTACCTGTCCCGTGTGTGGGCAAATGGTGCCACGATTCAGAATCAATGAGCACATGGATGAAGCATGTCAGAGAAACCATGGTGAGATTGGCGTTATTGATTCAACACTCAACTCTCTTAGGAACGAGAGTCCTGCAGCTGCAAATGTGAACAATAATTCCAGCTCATATTTTTCAAAAAACCTCTTAAATCTAGAAGCTAGTCCTTCCAAAAGCAGTTTATTGAAAATGGAAGGGAGTGCAGCACAACAAATTAGTCCTTATTTTAGCAATAAAAGTTCAGTCCATAGTGTTAACAATGAACCACAGGCTCAAACAGTTAAAATAATCTCTTTGGGAAGCTTGTCATCTAAACTGTCCAGAAGATGTATCCAGGGAGGAAAACAGATCATGTATAAAGAGATTGACTCTTCGCCTCCAGCTGTTCACAATATGGGCGAAAGTGCTGCAGCATGGGATGGTGATGATGATAAGATTTTTGCTAGGCATGGTTCTCAGAAAGAAAATCATCTTGCTCAGAGAGAGTGCCAGGAACAAAATTTTTCGAAGGAGAAACCTGAATTTCAAGAAGAAATAAACAAGTGCAATGGAGAAAACCTTGTGGATATTGTTCGAGTATCATTACCAGCTGATTACATTAATGGCAGAAGGTTACCAATTGGTTCAAGGAGCACCAAAACAGAAAGTAGGTCTGAAAGTGTGATACTTAGTCCTGATAAATTTGAAACACATCTAGCCATTTATACTTCAGCAGAACTGGCCAGTAGTTTGGAAGTCAAGATTCAGCCTCACACTCAGATTGTTCCTTCCTCCAAGTCAGAAGTGAATTGTGGTACACAAAATGGCTTAAGCAAGGGTGATGTACAGGTACTTCCTGTGGAAGTTCAAGAAGACTTTAAACATGAGATTAATCATACTTCGTCAGAAACTGTGGAAAAGGTAGAATTTCAAAATTCCTTTGGGGATATTTTAGACAAAATAAATGAGGTTAGTTCTGTGCCCGGCTCTCCTGGTCACCCATATTACCTCCAGAATTTTTTAGTGGTGCTACGAGCAGTCTTGGAGAACGAAGATGATGTCAGACTTTTTGATGAGCAAGACATGAGCATTATAACGAAGTTCTGCAAATTATCAGGTATTTTTTTTTAATATATTTTCACATTACCTTTTGTAGAGAAAACTGTTACATAGTTTTATGTGAAGAGCGCTATACCAACGGGCAATTAGTAAATTCCTTAAGGGAACAAGCTCCTTTTTGTCAGGAGACGTATCCCTCAGTGGCTTCTTGTAGGTAAACTTTCCTAATGTTGCTTTAATGGAAGGTAAGGATAAATAGTGGATATTTGTAAGAAATAGAGAGAGAATTATTACATATACTTCAGCGGGGGGGGGGGGAATACTTTTTTTGCTGTTTTATTACTGTTTTTTAGAATTTTAAGTCAACTTACTGCTGCATTTAAACATGTTTCCAAAGAAGGAAACTCGTAGCACAGAAAAAGAGTATCAGTTAATGCCAAGCTTTTGATGATTATTACATATAGGAATTCTACAAAATGGGGTTATGAAGAGACCTGTGCTGGATACATGGACCTTGAAAAAAATACTTCTGAAGTTGGGTTTTTGAGCCTTGATTCAGCACATTTACAGATTACTTTCGTGCTTGGTGTGAATCCATGGTTATTCTTATGATTATTACCCAATGTTTAGAATGCTCGTTACTAATTAACAGTTACTTTCTTGTAGGTAGCTTAGTACTTTTAACTCTCATTAATTTCAGTAAGAGCCAGAATGTTGGAGATTTAAGCCCTCCATATTTAGAAAAGATTCAAAGCAGACATGTTATCTGAATCATATACTCATATAAATTTTATAGTAAAAGCATGGCAGAAGCAAGTTAAAACTAGCCCTCCAGATTTTTATGTATGTTTATAACTTGTCTTAAACTGTAATTCAGAGTAGTTGCACCAGCACTTGAGCTGCAAACTTTGAGCATCACAATGGAAATAAGCTTATAACAACCTTCCCAAGAAAATTTGTATCTCAGGGTATTGCAGGCATAACCATTTATATTGTTTTAAGCTACTATAGTAATATATAGCTGCCTCACAAAGTATTTTTAGGTATATGTTCATATGAGCTGAGTTCATGCATCTGAGCTGAACATACGAAAGTGAGAGTTGCATATATATCTGCTGGTAAAAATAAAAAAATCAGAAGCTGCCTGCCCTTATTAATGTATTGTGTTCATTGAGCTTGGCTTAACTAGCAGGCTATAAAGTTTATCACACTAAAAAATAGTATTTCCCTGTGTGAAACTGTTGTGTATTCGGTCTTTTTCCTCTCTGTAGATTATATTTTTTTCTGCGCTAGTGTACAACAGTCTCTAGACTGCTTCCCCATTGCAAAAGTATAAGAAAACTGTTTGAGCTGTTCAGAGCACTTAGTCCCATAATGTTTGTTTCTATAAAGTTCCAAATTATATTGTGGGTAGATGTTACAAAAGAAAATATGAAGGTCATGACTTTGGTTAGCAGTTATGTGAAATTTTTCCAAGGCCAAAAGGAGACTTTTCAGTAAGTGTTTTTCTAATAACTTGGATAGATGTGGAGAATAATAGAATGAAGTTAGGGTAGTGTATATGACATCACAAGGTTTTTAATACAGGATACTGAGTGACAGAATTAAAGAAGTGTTGGCTTGAGCTTTTTAGGAAGAAATATAGCCCTGATAAGTAGTTTACAATCTCACTTTCTTAAAAAAATTGAGTCAGTGCATATCTGTTTCTCAAGGAAGCACTTAAATTATGGTGGAACAATCTCAGAAATGCCTTTTTTGACGTAAGATCTTCTTCCAAAATTTAGCAACTGGAAAGGACCCCGAGAACATTCTTCATTTGCCCCAATGAAAAAGTCAGCTGAGCCGACTCAAACCACCTTAAGAGATGGTTGCTAAAAAGGTGAAGAAGCACCAGAGGAGGAATTAGGGCTCTAAACTTACACAGGTGTTTCTGCAGTAGTTACCTGGTCACAGTTAAGCTCTTACAGATTATATTGTAATAATTACAATTACTCAGTAATACCAAACCTTTAAAGACTAGTACTAACAGAAGTTACGAGAGTGTTGTAAGTAAGATGAGATCATAACAGGACTATATTTGTCAGGGAGCAGCAAGAGCAGACTACTCTGCATTGGAGGATGACCCAGGAGCCAAAAGGGACTGCAGGGCTGACAAAGCCTCACATAAGCTCTTGCCAGCAGCCTGAGCCCAGCTTACACACCTGCACCATATCAGAGCTGACCTTGAACAGAAGCAGCGAACCTGTGGGATGGGGTTGCAGAGCCTATTGGTGCACTTAAGGCTATAAGAATATTAAAATAGTTAACTTGCTCCACCCAAATGTGTATACAGTGACATCTTGGAGCTTGATAATGCCTTGTTTATGTTGTGATAGTTAAAATGGGAATATATAAAGAAAGAATGGAATATAAGCAACAAAACTGGCTCTCTGAGGCAAGCAGCAGATGCGTATCATTTACATCCAAAGAAGATCTAGGAATAAACTTACAGTTCGCTTATTAGTGGATGCAGGCTTTGGCTACTTTGACAAATACTAGAAGAGATGTTCAGGATGCAGCTTCCTTATTTCCATGTTCCCTCCTCTGGATGAGTACAACTCTGATCAGTAAAAGTAACTTGTTCTGTTAGATAAAGGAAGTACTTGTTTCTCTTTCAGTAGTGTGATTTCAGTATTCTCGTCTCGCAGGAGTTCAGAGTAGAGAAAGCATTATTGCAAAGTGGTGCTGATAAATCCATGTCTGCACTGACTGCTAAAGTCACAAATAAAACAACCTCTCTTTGCAGGGTAGGAAAAATGCAGTGATTCGTCTATGAGAAGTGATCAGATAGCATTAAGTCAATAGATAATGAATTCTGGACAAGTGACAGATGGAGGTCTTTACCTTCAAGAAATCCAAGACGGAATACTTTAAAAGTTCAGGTAGATGGGTTATCTGTTCCACATTAGAAGTTTCTACCCAAGCAAGTGTTGTCTTTCAGTTGTCATGACACAAAAAACCCCACACATGTGCTTAATACTACAAAGTTGCTTGAACATAGGTATTCTCTAGTATTTAATTATTTTCTGCTAAAATGTCTACCTTTCTTCAGTGAGTTATCTCTAATGCTTACTATGAAAGGAATGATATTTTTCAAAGGATCAAATTTGAAGCAACCCTTCCTGCCTGCCTGCCCGGTTTTCTCAAAAGTGTACAGCTTTTATGTTGGATGCAGAGCACTGCCAATTTTTGAAGTACTGGAAATGGCAGAGGTGTATCCATAACAAGTAATATGCAGTGCAATGTCAGGCTTTGTGTTCAAGATGAGATCTGTCTGAACTTATGGTGAACTTATGGTATGGAACTTAACATTACACTTAGATGTAATATTAAAAAATGTCTTTTGTATTCTCCATGTTTAATTTCAGTGCATGTTGCAGTTGGAAGAATTTAAATGCAAGCACATAGTTCTAGTGACGCTACTTAATACATTTTGTGAAATCCTCCTTCCAACTTTTATACATCAGAAAAATCTTAGCTGAGAAATACTGATTTATAATCACCAGTGGAACTGAGGTACAGAAAACTGAGCAAGAAAAAATAGTGTAATCATTTTCTGTTGCATTTTAATGAATCATATTCTAAGATCGTCTGCATCTTGTGGCTGATAATATTTCAACTTAGGGTGAATTTTTTATTTCAGTGATACACCTGAAATTTTCTTAAGAACTACAAAAGAAAAAAAAAAATCCCCCAAACCTTCAAAGGTAATGTACTGCAGAACAGGGTGCTTAAGAAGCGATTAATTACTTGTGCAATACTTTTTTATTCTTCTATTTGTCATTCAAATCCTTTAGAGAGAAAGCAGTCCGTACATGCCTTTGCTGCATTGCAGCCCTAGTTTGGTCGATTTCCATGGGCTGGAGGAAGGATGTTCATGTGTCACTGGACCTTTTTGCAGAGTTGTAAGAACTGGAGACAGACTTCAAAGAAGTTACAAAACCCCATGGAGAAAATGACAAGCTTGTGCATCTGAATGTAGTTGTCTCAGTGAATGGATCCTGGAAACATTCTATTAAAAAAGTCTGAAAAAGTCTTTTTAAGGACAGGAGAGTAAATAAGCATGTAAAAGTTAACTGCCATTTCTTAAGTATATGTAGGTCTGGTAGTGTTTCAGTGTCTGTATTAAAGATCAGTTTCAGTCAAGCAGCAGCAGACAGGGATAAAAAAATTAGAAGTTAATGAAGGATGAATTAAATATTCAGAAGGGTGCTGAATGAAGTAATAATAGCTAGACTATTTTCAGCTAAGATTTAATAAGCTATTTTGTTGAATTTCAGCATTGTTAGTATTTTTAAAGTATTTTTAAAAGGTACTTTAAGAGAGCACTTCCCTGATAAAAATCAAATCAATAGGAGTTTTTTTGCCTTGTTTTCAGTAGGTACATTAGTAAAATAAAGCTTATCTTTGGAAAAATAAGAATCTGAAGACTGCTACAAAGAGAGGTATTCTGTGGTTATGAAATCATTCTCTCAGACTACAGCTTCTTTTGTCCCCCAGCATCAAATCGTTGGTTATTGAATGAGTTTTAAAGAAAGCAAAAAGACCTATTTAACATCACAATACGCAGAGTTTGAAAAATGAAGTTGTCTTTTCGTAGGAAACAAATTATTTCTTAAAGAGTAAGCGTGTCCAAGATGCCTTTTAGCATTACCTACATTACCATTCATCACCTATAACATACATTGTAATAATTTTCTGTCTACAAAACTTAGAGATTCTAATGAGCAATAATTACTTGAAAAAGTGAATTCTGCTATTTTACCAAGTCTGCTGGTAGAACATGGGCAGATTTAAAACCTGTTTTAGAGAATGTCTGCATCAAAGTAATTTTTCTAGGTAAGATAGTGATTCTGCATAGTACTGTGTTTTAGGATTTGATTTTCTTTTTATCCTTCCCTGCTCTACTTAAATTTGCAGTTGGTGGGCAGAAGTTATATGTCAGACTTTTTCAACGCAAGCTGAACTGGTTAAAGGTGAACAAAATAGAGTATGGAGAGATAAGTATGGATTTGTCACCAATAATTGAAGAACTGGCTGAAGCCAGATTTCTGCAAACAGGTATGGCCAGCATTAATAAATGTTAAAAATATTGCAAATAAAATCTGCAGTTCTGTCATGTTAGAGTTTAATGCATTATATGCTTGTCTGTGCCTTAAGAATTAGAGGAGCAGACTAAAGGTTTCAGCTAGATGAGTTGTGTTGTGTTACATTAATAATAAAGGCTGTTAGTGCAAATTAGGTAATAGGGACAGCTAAATACATGTCAGGGCTGTAAGTGCAGCAGTAGGCCTCGCTTGCCCTCGCCAGCCTCATTTCAGACCGTGACCTGCACAGCCTCTGCACATTAGTCCAGAAGCTCTACTTAATATCCTTCAGTACCGCCCTGAGCTGTCCCTGGCCTTGTCCATCTCTGGCCAACTGGACCTCCAACCAGTGCTGCAGGTGTTTGTTTCCAGTCTTGTCTGTGGCCCCGTACTGTGGTCGGATCTCGGACATAAATTGTAGTCTTGTCTCTTGTCTTATGTCGGCTCGTCATTTAGATCAACCCTGGACCTGATTCATCATCGTGCGTTTTCAGAGGCGGCCAGTAGAGTCTGTTACCAGGCCTTTTGCTCTGCCCGTAAATTCTGTTAATTTACAGTGGGACTGCACCAGAGTTGGTGAGGACACTGCCAGTGCTGTGGTCACTCTTGACTCCTGGCTCATTCCCCCTTGTTGAGCAGCTGTGCTGCTGCTGCTCCCTGGCAACACTTTTTTTTTGCATTGGGCAAAGTTTTAATCATCAGGAAGACAAATTTTTCTGAACAGCATTTTTTTTGTAACTCAGCAGAAATTCTTTATATTTGCTTTTGTTTTGAAGTTGCAAACGGATTTTTTTCTGATTATTCTGTTTCTTCAGTCTGGACCTGTGAAGAGAATAAATTTCAAGCTGAACCAGCTAATGTTGATAATACATGTTTGAAGAATCTAAATGATGAGATTAGTACCAGGTTATATGAATGTACTGTATTTTGAACTGTTGCTTGAGTGTATATGTATAGCACATAATGAATGTATGTGGATCATTTTACTTCTAGAATCTGAACTGGAAGACCTGTGTGAAGGGTTGGATTTGCTTTCAGCCCCTGAGCTAAAAACACTAGCAAAGATCTTTCACTTGCCAAACCCAAATGGTCAGAAACAGCAACTTGTGGATGATTTTCTGAGGTTGGCAAAACAACGTTCAGTCTTCGGCAGAAGTCAGGCTGGTATTGGGACAGTGATTTTAAAAAGGTAACTCTGTTTATAGTTAAATTTTGCAGGTGAATGTAAGTTACGCTTCAAAGGACTCAATCTAGATGCCTTTTGAAGAGTGGAATGGATTTAGTAAATTCATGAATAAAAAAGGGCAGCATTAAATTTTGATTCACAGCAGGTCAATCAGAAGGGTAAATATTAAACTTTTTTTTAAACTATGTCATGCTTTTCAACTATGGGCATGATTATCTGTCTCCAAAGATACTCAGTTACACAGGGGAACATTCCTGAATTATTTAAAGCAAAATCGGCGCAGAAAAGGAAGACCTAGGGAAAGTCATTGCCTATTAAAGCAGCTATGTGATGTTCATGTGCTGGGTGAGCTCTTTTAATAGAGTTAGAGGGGAGCATGATCTCTCTTTTTGTGATTGACTTTGTACTTTAGCATAGAACCTCCTTTTCAGCAATATTTTAAAGGGAAAAGATTGTGTTGCTTGACAAAGTGTTCTTTCTTTCCTGTGAATTTTTACTCTGGCTATCACAGCTGTGTGTCTTAGATGCCCGTGCCTTCCAGGTCTTCTGGGGTCCAGATTCAGGTTTAAGGTGTCATTTTGCCCTAATGGGAGTGATTACAGCATTGCCATTCTTGGTGTTTAGGGCTGGCTCTGTAGCTACAACATCCACAAAAAGTCTAGGAAGCCGAACTGAAGTAAATAACCAGGGTACTGGTGCTAAGGTACAAGTCAGTTCTGGAGTTTGTAAGCTTTCTTATGCTGTTACCTCTCTTAGTAACTCATACCAAAAAGTAACTGTTTGAATAATAATGCATGTAAACAAAGGTTGCTTGTCTAGCAGGTAGCTTGTCTAGTAGGCTGGAGAACTAGAGTCTGAACTCAGTAATTGTGGAATCCTTTCTGCACAAAATCCAGGATGGGTAGAAAGCTGACAGATACCAGTATGTACTGCATTTGCCTCAATAACATAATACGTCTTTCCTGTTGTATTCTTTTTCAAATAAGAGAGATACAAAGCTTTGTCAAGTTTTGCATGGCTATGTTTATTGGACATATGTTCCCCAGCCCCACCCAATCTGTCACATGATTCCCCACAAAATTCCTTGCATTAAAAGGGGCCTAGTATTGGAAGAAGAACTTTAAAGTCATCACTCCATGAAGAATTATTATTACATGAATCAATAAGGTCTTTCCTTATGCCAAAAGAGAGGCCTAATGCTAGCTAAGTGCTGGGCTTGCGGAGCGTCACAACTGGGAGGTTTGCATAGTATGGTTAGCTTCTTTTAAAGTAGTTTTATTTGGTCTTTGTTGTTTTCAAAAGACAACAGGAGCTCTATTGGTTCCCATTCCATTAAAAATAGTATTTCGCACTGGTTTCATTGTCTGCAGTAGCATTGAGCTTCATTTGGTCCACAGGAAAACAGCTACAGTGATCATAGCTACAGCCATGCTTATCTTGTATTAGAGGATGTTGGGACTTTGTGACAAGTAAGGATGTTTTAATTTAAGGAGTTGCGGTTGTTTCCTCCTTCTAATCCAGGTATAGAAAACTTCATTACGAAAATGCTTTGTATCACTTGAGATTTCATTTTTTCTCTTTGATACTAGATATTCGAACTATGTGATGATGCATGATGCATAATTTGTATAAATATCTCTAACAGAAATAAAATTGTTTCCAGAATATGGGCTTGAACTATACAAAGAAAGGCTAGAAAAAAACGTCTTCAGGAAATGGAACGGAACCTGGCAAAATCAGTTACGTTCCAAAAAGGTCCTTGGCTCTCGCTTACTCCATGCTCCCAAGAAAAGACACTGATCGTTACTTGCTTGGCCAGATCAACTTCAGGAATGTTATGCTCTTGGGTGTACTTGACAGCTGAAATACTAGTTACCCCATGAGACAAGAGAAAATCCTGTTTTAAATCTGTGCTGTCCTGGGGACAAGTAGCAGAAATTTTAACTTCTGTGAAAAGGCTGGATGAAGATGTGCTAATACAGATACCCTAAAACAGGGGATTTCACATTGTGGTTTGTAAACCTTGACCTAACAGCAAACCACAGCTTATTGCTTGTTGGTACTGCCTGGCATAGTAACAGGAGTGGCTGCACCCAAAGGGCAGTTAGTTCCAATTCTATTCTGCTTGAAGTTTGGCCCTTAAACTTATTAATGTTTTTCTTTAGCTTTTCACTAGAGGTGAACTATGCACTATATAGTTTCTCAAGCTGCTTCTTTCAAGGTAAATGAAGTTTACACATTTATTGTCTTGAAAAAAAATTATTCTCACACTTCCTTCAGTGTATTTGAATTTTTATAAGTGATGGTAAAAACCATTTGTTACAGTTATTTTATTTGTCCTTCCAGGGTGAAGGACTTGGCTGGAAAATCTGTGAGGGTCTGTAAAGGCCCTCGGGCTGTCTTTTCTCGAATTCTGCTGCTATTTTCACTGTCTGAGTCGATGGAGGATGAAGAAGCCGGTAGTGCTGGCCAAGGCCAGCTCTCCACAGTCCTTATGGTAAACATGGGGCGTATGGTATTCCCCAGTTACACTGTAAATAGGAAAACACAGGTCTTCCAGGACAGAGAAGATCTTATCAGGTAGGGGGAGCTTTGGCAGTTTGGAGATCTGTTTATTTGTAGAACAGCTTTACTGCAGTACTTGTGTAGGCAAATAAGAATTCATCATCTAGAACTCTAGATGTAAATAGGTAGAGTGCACTTTTGCAATTATTTTAAATGCATTTTTGTATTCAGGTAGGACTTGTAATCCATAGTGGCTTGCATTTTGAACCAAAATAGCATGTTTACTTGCTTCATGATCATTTGCTGATGAAAGTTGTTTCTTCATTTGCTGTGATGATTATTAGAAGGGACTCTGAACAAAACAAAAAATACGTTCTCTAGTTTATAAGTAATTTTAAACGTAATGTACCCTGCTAGTGTAAACTCTGCCAATCTTACAAGATTAGGAATAAAGTTGTCTGCATGGTTCAATGTCTTTGGAGACTGGAAGGGAGTTTTTAAAAGGTATTCTGTGGAGGAATTGATTTCTTTGAATTATAAATCCTTTTTGAGCCTAATACAGTTACTATGTTTTTTTTCCCTTAGGTATGCAACTGCTGCTCATCTATCAAATGATATAGCCACTGCAATGGTAAATGGGAACTGGGAAGAAGCTAATCATCTATATATGTGTGCTAAAGAAACCTGGAATGAACTGAAAAATCACCCTTCTTTGAGGTAGAAAACTGGAAACTAGACTAGTGTTCATATCAAACTATGTATTTATGTATTTATTATACATTTATAAGTGTATTATCTTTTGGTACTTTTCATTTTGAGAGAGGCTTACAGGCTAGTGTTATTATTTAAACCTGATAAATTTAGAAGCTTTAATGTTCTTGAAAGCTTTGAACTTCCTGGTTGTTTTCTTAGCTTTTAAATGATTATATGAAAAGGCCTTTTTTATAAAATCTTGGGAATGAATTGGTAGACATGGATAAAGCACTAAAACATTCTGTTCTGTGGGCCAGTGCAGGACAACAAGAGACTTATTTTTCCCTTGTCATAGTTTGTTTTTATGGCTTTTGGACAAATAACAATAAGCAGAATTGAAAATTCACTGTGAACAAAAGCATGTTGCAAACATTATGGGAAAACATACTGGGTTATTAATCTCTTCAAACTTCCAAGTGGGTGTCATTCAGGAAACATTACTAAAGATCTGAGAACTGAAATAACGTGTATTGTTTTTGAAGCATCCTTCATCATTTTTTCTTTCAATTATTTTGTTTTCTGGCTTAGTGATACGCCGAAAGTTAAAGCCTTATGTTTGGCTTTATATTCATTTTAATGGCAATAGATTTAAAATAATATTCATAGAGGGTCATTTGGAGATCTGCTCCATTTCACACGGAAGGCAGTGGAAAAACCTGGTTTTATTTCAATAAGACATTTGAAAGACTTTGTGTTGAAACATAGTGGTGCCTACCCAAAATATGTTAGTCATCTTTTATGGCAGGAAATGCCTGTTCTAGCCTTTTTCTTTTGTTCAGCTGTGTTTCTGAAGTTAACCTTCTGATGTAGGAGAATAAGTTGGCAGTAGCAAAACATGATGTAATAAATTATTGGTTTGCATCTGATATAGAGCTTACTAACTAATAATTCCACTGCTGTTGAAACCTACATATGCTGTGCAAGTGCGGCTGGCACCTTCTACGTCGGCTAAACGATTTTCTTACCCTTGGGTTCTTGACTTTGCAGCTGGGATACTCATTTCAGTTAAATTTTGATAGATAAGGCATTTAATTTTTGTAAATGCTTTAGATATAAGTATTCTTAGTAAGAGAATTTTAAGAATTTAAATTGCCATCATTGAACTGATCTAAGCTACTTTTAACCTTTCAGCTATCACAGAGTTTTACCTGAGTTTCTGCGGCATTTCACAGTTGGCTGGGTGTATACAAGAATCCTTTCTCAAGGTGTTGAAATTTTGCAGAGACTTCACATGTATGAGGTAAAGTGGTGGAGTGAACAGGAATATGTGTTTAATGTAGCATTGTATATCAATTTACATTTCTGATGTTGCTGGAAAATGGTGATAATGTTTGACAGGACTTGCTACAGTTCTCTTAACAGGTTACTTTTAAGGAAAAAGAGCTTTTTTTCATGCTGCTTTAGAAAGTTTTAAATTGTTTTGATTTCTGCTTATGCTTTGGAGATTTACTATATGTAATATGCCATAAGACTGTTGCTGAGACATTGTTGTTTTGTTATTTAAAGATATCTATGTTTCACTAGATTTGGTCATTGCTTTTAAATAAGAAATCTTGGAAGAAAAGCATTCTGTGAAATCCCTGCCTTTTCACCTTAGGAGCTATCATCTCCAAAGGCCTCTGACTTGTACGCTAAAGCAAACCAGATTATTCTCACTTTGCCTCTGCAAAAAGGCAACAAGTAATATTCAGGTCTTTTTGATACACAATAACTAATACAGGAAGGATGAAAATACTGTATTTTTGACAGCTAACCTTTAAGTTTACATTAAAGTATCTCTATTCCAGAGTTTTCAAGATATATCCATGCACCTGAATACATAGGGTGTTGGAGTAAAAACGGGGTTTGAATTGCGCAGAGACAAAGTTTTATCGTACCCAGTAATTACAAGAGAAAGAATCAAGCTAATTACATAATGAAACTTCAACTTGGTTTTCTAACTCCATTAATAAAGATATAATCCTGTTGCTACAGGAAGCGGTGCAGGAGCTGCAGACTCTTCTGGCTCAGGATGTGTATTGTACTGACAGCAGAGGGCGATGGTGGGATCGCCTGGCTCTGAATTTACATCAGCACTTGAAAAACACTAAGAAGGTATCTTCACAACTGCATTCTGTAAACCTGGACACACTGCAGTCATTGTCTGAAAATATTTCTTTTAAATATTTCCTATGAGAAGGACGGGGGGTAGGTGCTCCTAAAAATGCAGATATTAGTAGTAATCCCAAGGTCAGGCAACCAATTTCTCTTAAGAAATTGAGTGTACCTTCATCCTTGGTTGGCCTGCTTTTTTCTGTTACATAGAACACCATTTGGCATGAATAATTGCATGGGAGTTATCAGGCCGCAGCTTCCTTCCTGTTCTGCCTTAGAAATTTGCCTAACGTGTGAGAAGCAGAGAAACTTCTTGCAGTAAACACTACTGCTTCTGAATGCGAGTCATGATGAGGCCGTATCTGGAATGAAAAAACCAAACATGATTGGAAGGAGTTTTTTGGTTTTTTCAAACAAAAAATTAAGAGAATTAAGTCCTTGGCTAACTGTTGCCACTGGGGAGAAGGTTGCCTCCTATATCTGGACCAGTTTTTGTGTGAGGTTTCTACTGTAAGGAGTCAAGCAGTAGAAAAAAGCCCATTTCTAATCTGTTACTTGTACACAGCTCTGGCAGAGTTATCAGTCTTTAACAGCAAATTTAAACTATTTCCATGGTCCTAGAGGAGAAACCGTAACTGATCACCCTTATCCTGGTAGAGAATAACATTAATGGTTTGATAGCATGTACTACAGGCTACGTTCATCCATGTCTGTTTAATTCTCTTAGGAAGGCAGAGGAGGGGAGAAGAGGTTTTGAGGTAATCTTAGCTTTTGCTGAAGCTTTACTTTCTTCCCTACCAGTAGGATGGACACATAGACACACGCTAGGGTGTGTTTGTACAAGCAAAACACATTATTTGTGCAGTGGGTAAACTTGCCAGTCTTAAGGCTTTTTAGAAACACTGTGTACATGGTGAGCAGTCTTTGAGTTTCCTAAGTGTTTAGCTGGCATGTAGCCGAATGAGAGAAAAATAACCATATGGGAATGGCAAGGATTGTGTGCAAGGATTGTTGTAAATCTCTGTAGAACTTTCTGGCACCTCTGGAAAGATTTCTGCAGCAGAATATACAGGAACCAGAGAATACTGCAAGCTGCAGTACATGTTGTGCCTTTGGATTCCTTGTGAGCTAGCACCAGCTTTTCACAGACTTTCTTTTCAAGAGCATCGAGGCGTAGAAGCCACCGTCTAACTCATTTTAGGGCTCAGTTAGAGTTCCATAAATTTTCTGTGCAACAAACAGCAGGTGGCACTTGTATCAGCTGTTGGTCTGAGGATTTGTAAGTACAGGAGATTATGTCCATTTTTCCTGTCACATACAAAGGAGAAATATTGTGAATGACTGAAAATGCAACTCTGTAGGACTGTTTAGGTCACAGTGAAGTATGGCAGACTGAAAATCAACTTCGAACTAAAAGACGAAGACGACCAATGTAATTGAACACACCTAAGATACCTGACTAATTTGGCAATGAAAAATAGAGATTCAAAAAAGTTTTAAGTCCAGGAACAGTAGCAGTTGTAGAGTTATTTAAAATAAGCAGAGAATGACCTTTTTTTTGCCCCTCACTAAGGCTATTGAGAATTGGGATTAAAATGCTTGTATTTTGTGTTGCATTTTAATTCTCTAAGTCTGTTAAAAGGAAATAATATCGTAGGCTGTCAAGCATCTGCGGTTTTCACTTCTACATCTTAAACCCCATATCAAGCTTTTTCCAGATTTGGAATTAGCAGTTGTACAAAGGAAGAGTTCGTCTTATTTATAAAGAGTTTGTTTATAAATAGTTTGTTGTTCCTTATTTATAAAGTAGGACAATGTGCCTTCCTCAAGTCACAGAAAGAGTATGTCAGAACCATGATTTGAATTAATTTTGGAGTCCATATTTAACCTTGGATGTTCTTCAGTGCAGTAGTCCATTGATCTAAAATTTGTTCAGTATGTACATTCTTGCACAATTGATCTGATCCTTCTGTTGCCATATTATGTGCTGTTAAGAAACCGGCTTAAAAATGTTAGGCTGATACTACCTTAGAACCAGCTCTTTTTTCTGGTCACTTATGTAGAATTTACACTTCCTTAGTTTTATGTTGATCAGTACAAGCGGAGAGTAATTTCTTTTTACTGTACCAGTGCAAATTTGAATCCAGAAGCCTACTACTGCAAAATACTACTTACTAGTTAGAACTTCAGTACATAAATAAGAAAGGTGGCCCTGTCTTATATGCTGTTTTTTACATTCACAATTTGTGCTCCTTAAATCAATTGGTCTTTTGGACTTAGTAAGATGAGACAGATGTGCATAGGTCTTTCTAAATTACTGCTTGTTACCTTGCTCTTTGCTAGGCCATTGACTGCATTAGAAATGGGCTGGCAGACCCGTTTGTACGTACTGGGCATCGTCTCTCTCTCTATCAACGGGCCCTACGAATCAGAGACTCTCCAAGCTGCAAGCAGTTCAGATGCCTGTTTCATGATCTGCCAGTCGTAACTGTGGAGGATGTGGCACATGTAAGTAAAGTTGCTGGTGCTTTCTGAGAAATAACAACTCAGCAGGTCTTTTTTCTTCTGGTCTGGGAGACTGTTGTTACACGCTGTGCGCCAGCCTCTGACTTACTTGTGCTGCAGGAAAATTAATGCAAATGTGTTTCTTACACAAAAGCCTCTTGTAAACAAATACTGCTACTTATTTGTTAAACGGTCAGCTTCTTAGCTGAAGTCAGTCTGCTGTACACCGATGTAATTTGCATTGCTTTACTGAATATGAGGTATGAATCTGATCAGCTATAAACTCCACTAATTTACCAGCAACACTCTCGGAACCTTTCTGTGTGAAGAGTCTGATCAAATCAGTGCATTGCCTCTGGTGTCTTCCAGGCCAAGCGTTCTGTGTGTAAGAAGTAATAGTAACCTTAGCATGTTGTCAGCATTAGATTAATGGCTCAAAAAAGGCAAGGGTTCTTTAGTAACCTTTGGGAGTTATGCACTGTAAATACATGCTCTGCAAATGTGCAGTATGATGCGCTTGCAACATATTGGAGTGGATTTTTTTTAACTCATTCTTATCCTTACTGTTGCAAAGGTAACTGTATCTGTGCAAAGTCAGAGCAGACACTCACTTTCTCTCCCGGCCTCGTCGCCGCATATGTCCCTAGAGCCCTTCTTTTTCTCAATCCAGAATCGGTCTCCTCAGTCATCTATATTATCTCTTTCTGGTCCTGCATATTAGAAAGACCACATTCCCATCTGCCCAGCATTTTTGCTAGCCATTTTTTCTCTGAAAAATTTGCCAGTTTATAAAAGCTAAACACAACGATTTCAAGGGAATGGCAGGTTAAATTTTACTCAGTTGATTTTTGGAAACAGGTCTAGTTCTGAGAAATGGGTGTTTTAGGAGAGATTCAGATACCTATGCTGCAGCTTTTTAAATGTGATGCTGGAGAGTAACTAGTTCTTGTCATATGTTCAGGTTACGATCAAAGGAAAGATGTGTCCTCAGATGGGAATGGGAAAATCTGTATTTCTAATGGAGGATATTGGTGATGAAGAAGGAGGTGAAGACTGCAGTGTATCCACAGTCATGTGCTCAGTTGAGGAGCTGGCATTAACTCATTACAGACAAAATGGTTTTGATCAGGGTAACAGTAACTTTTTTTTTTACAGTAAAGTAACTGTGGGAGTAAAGAACCAATTTACTATACAGTTTAGTTAATAGACCAGTTTTAGCTGATTTCATTAGACCAGTTTTTAGTCTGATTCCGTTTCCTTCCCAAACGGCTCTAGTGTGTAATTTCCTTACCAAAATGCTCTAATATGTATTTTCCACTTGACCTGCTTCCTGGCCTTTAATTATTTGCTGCCTCCATACACCTAAGGTGGTTTTGAAATGTGTTAGGAAAAAACCCAATGTTTCTTCTTTTCTCCATAGAAAATCACTTAACTTTGCGTTTCGTATTAGTGAACAGCTATTTTATTTGTTACGGGTAAAATGCTACCAGTGTCATTTAAGGGAGTGTCATTAAGGAAAGGTAAACTTCCACTGGTTTTTGGTACTAGATGAACATGAAAACAGTATATACAATAGCAAGGCACTTGGCAACTTCTTTTGAAAAAGCTTGACTTTCAGCTCTATTAGTAGTGGTTCATATGGTTTTACAACTTAAGAGCTGTGAAAAGCCATGGACAAATAAGAATATCTAGGTCTGTTTTACAGAAAAAATACAGAAAAGGTAGGCAGCTTATTTTTAAGATAAAATTTATATTTTATAAAAT